ATAATTTGTTTTAATTTCAGCTCCTGGTTCTTTTATTCCCACATTATGTCTGTGTCACGTGGTGTAAAATCTTCCTTGTTCAAGGTATTTGTTCACCTAGCAAGCAATACCTCAGCAATTCTACATTGCTGTTAAAAAGCTTCAGTTTGCAAACATCTTGGTACAATGACCGTATGTGTGGTCTTGTGTGGGGAAGTTTTTCTGTAGTTTCTAGGAGCAGTAAAAGAACCAATACAAAAGAATGCAAATAAGTACCAGCTGATCTTGGTAAAGTGGGTTTGCCCAGTAGACATTTGTGCACAAAAATCCAACCATGTTTTGGTTATGTATTTCTTACAGCTTAAACTGTGTCTTGGAGATCTGACATAGGATTTTAAGGTTAAAATAACTGATTTATGGCTTTCTTTGCTGAGTTAAATCAAATCTTTCATCTTGTGTGCATATACCTTTTGTGTTCTCTGGGCAATGTATACATTCTTATTAGGACTGTCAACAAGCAATGAGTAATTGACTGATACGCATTTAAACACTGGGGTTACAGCATGTGGTCTAGGAGATTTATACAGCTTTGAAAAATCTGTCCTTGTACATAAAATGAGGTTTGATAACTGATCTGGAACTATTTTCAAATTCAGAACTGTGACACTGCCTCTGTTACTTGATTACATGAGCGTCTTTAATTGCTGATGACTTTTCTGTTGTACATTTGAGTTTGCAAATATTATTCTGACAATTTCAATTTAGCCTGTGTTATGGAGAACATATTGAAGGAGCATTTGTGCAGATGTATTTAAGTTAATAATTATTTTTTAAGGTTGGTGATTATGAAAGGAAGCTTTAATGGACCTGACAGCAAGGCTTTTTCTTCTGAATAGAAAGAAAATGTTGCATAAAACACATAATGTTGCATATAGTTCATTTGTTTTATCCCTGGTTACCATGAACAAAGGACACAGTCATGTGGAATAATTTTAGAACTCCTGTTACCTTTATTTTTTTCAATAAATCACCTGGAAATTCCTGAGCATCACCCATGTATTGAACCCTGCAAATTTAAATGAATTACTTTATAACCACGAGTACTGTATGTTTGTCTGATGGTAATGAAGAACTGGGTGCTGGTTTGGGCTTTTTGAATAAGGACAAGAGTATTTTGCATTTATCTTGTTTTGGATAGTGCCAAGCACAAAGAAATCACAGAAGTGACTGAAGCAAGCAGTGAGACTGTTGAACATGGATGGTGCTGTTAAGCACAGATTTGTTATGGCTGCAGAACGGCAAAGTCTCTCTCTGGGGGTAGTGTGCTTTTTTTCTGCTTCTATTTCTCTTCTCTTGAGAACACGGGTTTACTTTTGTGGTAAACCTGTAACAAAAGAGAGATCACAATGTTGGAATGAGTTTAGCTGGAGGGGAAACATAATGTCAGCAGAAAAACAGCACTTGGTAAATATGTTACAGCTATGGTTCAGCAAAAGGCAGATTCTGTCAGCTGAGCACCCTTCTGTTTTCTTGGAAGTGTCTCTTAGGTGGGCAGAAGCCCACGCTCTTTGCCTTTATGGAAATAGTATTAATAATAACAGTAAGTGAATGCTGTTTGGGTGCTATATATGTGGTTCTGACATCGATCCCTTCCATTTCCAATGTGTTTGTTCTCTTGGGCTTGGGATTCCTGTTGAGCTGGAAGATGCTGGAAATTCCTGTTGAGTTGGGGGAGTGAATCACGTTTGAATCTACCCTGTCCTATGAGTCCTGGGGGAGGAAATAGCCTTTATAAGTCTACATTGCTGTGGGATGCTTAACCAGCATCTGTTGTGCCTGTTCCATCTGCCCATGCTGGGTTGGGTTGGAAGGGAGCTTTGAAGACCAGCTTGTCCCTAACCCTTGTTGTGGGCAGAGACCTCTGTCACTAGAGTGTGCTGCTCAAAGCCCCAGCTGGGCTGACCCCGAGTGTTTCTAACAGTGGGGCAGCTCACCAACCTTGAATGAAGCAGCTTTGTAGACAACAAATAAGTCACTGTTATATGGTGCAGACGTTTCCAGTATTAGAACCTGCTCTGGAGTTCCTAAAGCTGTGAACAAATTTGGGAAATAAGTGTTTCTGTCTGAACTGTAGGAGCAGCAACTGGAGAAATTGAAAAACAGTGTCCCAAAGAAAACATTCCAGCTGAAATAATCTGGCCTTGTTTGTTTGTTCTTCAGCATGTAAATTGGGAAAGCATTGCTGTGTATAATAGACTGTAACCAAGGAAATTCTCATATGAACAGTGTGGTGTTTTAGACAATATTCATAATAGCAGTCTTACCAGAGATGTCAGACAACCCTCCTGTTCTTTCTTCTTTGCTCTTGTAGAAGCAGCAAACCATATGGCAAATTAAACCAGATTTTTATTAAACTCCTCATTGTACTGCACTGTTGTGAACTGGGAAATGCACTTTCTTTGAACTATGCAGCCATTATAGAAGCTTCTTAATTAGGGGATGTTAAGGTTCTTCTTTACATTCCTGGGAGTATGTAGCTCCCTCTTGTGGCTAATTATGCATTTGTAAAAAATCATACTTCATCAAGATTACTTTCTGTATTGCCGTTGTTGCTCTTGAGCAAATGATGCAGTGGTACATGGAGCATCTCTAGCCTGAATTTCTTATTTCTACATCAAACATGAGTTGCTGTGCAATAATAGCCTAAATGGCTAAACAGGTAGGAGAGAAGTGTCTGCATGTACCTGCTCCATGAATGTGCCTGCTTCCCAAGGCTGTAAGAAGGCTCAGCAGGCACATACAGTCATTTAGGAGAAGAAGAAGAAAACAACTCTACCTTTTTTACCTTCTGATAACTCAACTGTTCTTGTACATTATATACTGTAGAATGGTTACAGTAGGGATTCGTTGCATCTCCAAGGATTACAGACAGTTCAGGTACCAAACAAGGATGCTGTGCCATCAAATTCAAGGTTAAATCTTTGTCAGATTTGGAGTCAAAACAGTATTTTTTCCTGCAGTCATGTTTGCAGGGTATCTTCTTACTACCATTATTATCACTTTCTACTATGAAGAAGGATGTGTATGTGATTATCAGGGATTTGTTTAATAAATTCCCTTTTATAGCAGCATATAAATAAAGCCCATGGTTTGTTCTGCTTCCTTTCTGTGGTTTGTTGTAACTGAGCCCTTTTGCCTACGCTATGTCTTCAATGTGTTATAAACAGTTAGGAAATGCTTGACAGCTGTGGTGGGTAGGACTGTTGTGCAGACAACTTCAAATTAGATTTGTGTGCTGGCCTGTGGCTGTGCTGGTGCCTTTCAAATCACTCTTCTATTGCATGGGAAGGAGCACTTGTCTTCTTGCAATAAGGCTCAAAAATCAGGATGGGGGACGATGGGATTTTTTCCCTACAAAGGTGAGCAATGGCCATGGCACTGATTTGTTAAAGAAAAAGGAAAATGTCTTTTTAAGCTTGATGTAACAAACAAACAACAGAGACTGGTCAAAGCAGGAATTGAACAGCCGGTAGCTTTTTGGTAGCAGCCATTAAGTTTAAGTTTCATCACAAAATCTGAAGCACAACATTAGTTTGCCCTTCTGTCACTTGCCTCTGTGTTTTGTCATGGCACACTCAAAAGTACACGGGAAGAAAACTTCTTCATTAGTGTTTCTGCCTGGGAGGAGGAAGGAGAAAAGAAGGTGAAACAGGTTTTTGCTTTGAAATTTCTTCGTATCCCAAAGGATTTAAGAATTAAAACTTTCTCTCTGAAAATGCTGATTTCTAATTTCATAACTTGTGGCTATTTTTTCTCAATTAAAGTGAAGGAATAATGATTATAGAGTTTAGTCAAAATCTTGCTACCCAATAATATGCCAACCAGCACTGCTGAACCCACAGCAATAGGGCAACAAACATGTATTTCCTCAGGGATGCTATTAAACACTCTGCATATTTATTATCTCAAAATGGGAACGGGTCCAGATTCCTAATGCTGTTTTCTCCTTTCTGTTCCTGAGCCGTGATTCAGAATAGCATATAAATATTTGACTTAAGATTTCTGCAGAAACATTAAGGATATAAAATTGCTAGAAACAAAAGAACATGAAATAGCAGTGGAAAAGAATGGCTTGGCAAGATTGTCAGCCTAAAAGGGCAAGATTAGTTTATAATCCTCCTAGATTCTGGTGTGCAAATACAAATTTGCAAAGCACGTAGTTTGTAAGATACATCATGTAGCTCTGCAAGTTTACATATGCTACTGTCAGTAATGTAAGACAGCCTTGAAATTGGATTTTTAGGGATTTTTTTCTCACTGGGAAACAAGGTAGTGATAGTAACCAGCAGCTTCTGTGCACTCACGTGTATATATGGGTATCCAAAAGTTTAAAGTTTGGAAGGTGGAGGAACTCCATCTGTGTGACTGAGCAGAGTTTTGGGCAGGATGTCCATTTTGTGAGGTTTTTCCTTGGTTTAAAATCCTGGGAAAGGAAGTGTGTAGAAGGGAATCATTGAAAGAACAGCATCCCCAAAGTCAGCTGCTGTGATGATGAGGATTGCTAACAAAAAGGGGTGATTAATTGGAAAATAACATAAAGGTTGTTGTGAAATACGTATTCCTTATGTCACTTGAGGGAATGTCTAATTTTTTTTTTTATTTTTTTTTTCTCATAGGATTTCTTTGCAACTGTTTTGTTAATGTAACTGAAAACAGAAAAAGAAATAAAATGTCACATTTTAGTCATGGAGTGAATACAGTAACATGAAATAACAGAAAATTTAAGTCGTGAAATGAAAGATAGAAAAGATAAGACAGCAACAGGCTGAGGGCTTTTCCATGATGAGCTTTTCCATGGCTTAACAAAAGAATTGCAGGGTGTTTTCCAAATGATTGAAACCGTATTTTGTGTTTTCATATTATTGACAGGGTTATCTCAGTGTTACAATAATTGAAATTGCTTATGTGAGTTTAAAAGCATTTATAACATGGGCTCTAACGTCTTATTTTCTGCCATTCAGGTCATCAACAGTGAAGGGACAGAGGGAGCAAAGTTCCGACTCTCTGGTAAGGGAGTAGATCAAGACCCAAAAGGAATTTTTAGAATCAATGAGATCAGTGGGGATGTCTCTGTGACCCGACCCCTGGATAGAGAAGCAATAGCCAATTATGAGGTGAGTGCTCATCTCAATTGAATCTCCCCTTCTGTGTTGGTAATATATACTTTAGAATGTGTGTGTATTAGCTTTTGAAAGGACTGCAGTTGCTGAAGGCTAAATTACAAGCCACTGCCCTGTAAAATTTCTAGTAGAACCAGTTATCCTTTGGAAATTGTAAATGTGTGTATTTTCACACGCAATTGAAACTGCTCTACTTTCTGCATGTCATTTCTGTCATTTATCGTTAGCAGAAGTACTGTCTGAAAATCGTGTGTGCATTTGATTTGTGAATACAAATTTTTGTTCAGACTAAAGGAGGTATTTGGGGTAAGTTGCCTCTAAGACACTGTGTGGTTATTCCTCCTTTTTTTAAATTGCCAAGTTGTCAATAGCATATACTATTCATCTCCATTTTGCTGTAATGGATATCTTTTAATTTGTCTACAGAGAGTTCTGTTGATGTGAGAATGTTAGCAGATCCATCACTGCCAAATATATATCTTGAACTAAGACTGTACAAAGGATTCCTGTCCTTGTCAATAAATGCTACATTTTTTCCCATTGAACAAATGATCATAAAATCATAGAATCGTAGAACTGATCTTGGATATCTATGAAATAACTTCATGATGTCTTGAAATGCAGAGAGGATCTGTAAATTCACGTTTTCTTCCTAGCTCTGGAAATGTGCCCTCAGCTAAATTGCCTCTTGACACTTGGATATAGATGAGCAGCTGGAATCAAAATGGCTGAGATTTGTGAGGGTTGTGCTAGGAGCTTTCTGCCCCAGCATGGTGTGTCTGACCTGTGTGTCCTTGTGCAGAGTGCAGTGTGTGATGCTCCAGCCATGCAGGGCATGGGGTCAGTAATAGTACTGAGTGCTTTCCTGGCTGCCTCGTGTAGTAATCAATACTTCCACTTTCAGTGCTGTTTTCTCTCCTCTTCTAGAAGAACATTCTCATTAGATGACCAGTGGTGCTTGTTCAAAAAGCATTGCAAAAATTTACTGTAGGTTGGTTTTTGACACTTTAACATCTACTACTCATCTGGGCTTGCAGTGAAATGTATGTTAACCACTTGCATAGGATTTATGGCAGTTGCTGCTGTCCTTAAAAGAGAAACATTGCAGTTTCTCTTTATAATACTGTTTCTTGTCTTCATTTTCCAGCTGTTTCTTATTTTATCCATACTGGCGTTCTACCTTAATGTATTCAGTATAAACCTCAAATAGGATATTTTTTTACTGGAAAATCATAGTAGTCTTTTCAACCTAATGCATCAAACCACAAATGGCCCTCCTATCTGATGTGGCAAAGCACACTCTTAAATTAAGACAAAAACATTTCCCTAGAGGAGCCTTTTTGAAGCAATGCAAATTATATACAAATAGTGCAGTGTAGTAGATTATCCAGAGCAATGCAAATGTCTATCCTAATAGGCTGCAGTGCTTCCTAACCTGTTATATCACACTCTGCTCAGCGTGCTCCCTGGCATCCTGTTGCGCAAAACGTAGAGAAGTTCTTTAGAAGGGGAACCCTCCACTTCATTTAGTCTGCCTTTGACTCCAGCCCATTTTTTTTCCAATGAAGATGTGGCATGGTGTCAGGAAGGCAGCGGGATTTTTTCCTTGATTTCCTTGGTACACTGAGAGATGAATTACTGTAAAGATTCTTAGATTTTGGTTTAAAATTTTTTGAACCTTTTTTTTTTAAAATTTTTCTCTCCCAACTTCTCCCCCCTCCACAGTATTGATGTCCTTACAGATTAAATTCAAAGCGAAGGGCAAACAAAGAAAGAACAGATCTGCAGGAAAAAAATTGTATGTTCTTTGCAAGCCATCTTACCATCAAATATACAGTTATTGGTAGGGCAGGGATAACAAAATGAAATTCATTTGAATCATTCCAGCTACACAGTAGGCTGCAGTGCATTAGCACTGACTTATTTCTTATTCTTAGTGTATATGTACTCAAGGGATGAGAATTAAAGCGTATGCTAATAGGACACAAAATAGAGCTTTGTGTTCATAGTATTTCATAGAATTTTGCAGCTTTTACCATCCATGTGCCTCACAACATTTTACATTAGCTAAGGCTATTTAATCTGTTATAAGAATGTGTTGTTCTTTGTATCACTGAATGTTCACAAATGCTTTTTCCTGCCCTGTTTATCCTGGAGGAATATTGAAAAGCATGTAGAACTTCTCCCTATGATGTTCATTACAAGAGAAAAATTATTAAATTAGAGGACAACTGAATCCCACTCAGAAAGCCATTGATTGTCTGAATTAATTGCCACTTTCCACTCTTTGTTTTAATTATTCTATTTTTAGTGAGGGATAGAAAACATTTCCAAATGGGAGTGAGAAAATTAGAGATTCAGAGTCTACCAAAAGTGCATATACAGCCCAGGTGCATGGCAGTTATGCTTCCATGTTAGTTAACTTTTTGTTTGATAGCAAGAGAAACTCGAGCAGGAATGAGGAACGTAAGGCAGCTGTGCTGATAAAATGGCCTTCACAACCAGCCCCCTTGTCACAGCTGACTTATTTGATTGATTTATCGATTGTTTTTTATGAAATGAGTTAAACTGTTCAAAAATGGACCAGTATGTGAAAATACAACAAAAAACATCAAGGGAGATTAATTGTTACAGTGTGTATGACGTAACCACTTGCACATTTCAAATTGTGCTGGTTCCTGTTGAGGAAATGAAGGTATGTCATAGGAAGTTACGTGAGAGTCCAAAAGCCACAACATTCAAAATGAGCCAGTAATAATTTTTGTCTTGTTTATGTGAAATTATGTCAAGTAAAAGCAGACAGAGTTGAATATGTAGATTACCATGATTGAGATGACCAAAATTAAGTTAAAAAGAACTACATTTTGTTCTTTATTCATCTGTATTCATCTTTTGAGCATCAGTGGCAAAGTGCCATGGCTGCCTTTCAGTCAGGTGCAAAGACATCATCACTGAAGGGCTTCTTCATAGCTACAATCTGCATGAGAGAGAAATAAACAGACATGAATTTTGATAAAGCTATTCGGCAACAGTTTGAAAATGAGAACTGTGACTAACTGTACCTGGGCAATTTGAACTGTTAATGAAGAGTTAGTTTTACTTATTTTCATTCTAAATTGAAAAGCTGTATTTGCTTGAGAAAATACTTAACAATCAGAGGTGTGAAATCAGCTTTCAACTTTTTTACCTTTTTTTTTTTTTTTAAGTGCCATCACACTTCTGTGAGAGGTTGCCTTGTGACTGATAGACTGAGATAATCAGAAGAGTTACACTAACAGTACTGAAAAAGAGATGAAGACTGTTCTGAATGTGTTATTGTTTCTCTGTGTTGGATAAGTAGATTGAGAGCAGGCTAAAGAATTCAGACCACTGAACAGCAACCAAATCTTTAATGTGGACTGCATGAGTTCAGTTCTCCTATTCTGTAACTGAGCAGATACTTACATGCTTGCAGTTGTGGGCTCTGTTTCTGAGCTTAATTGAGAACAAAATATGGAGAGTCAGCACAGACACAAAGAAAACTGACCTGGTCATTTGCCTAGGAGCATTCTGTGACAAATATGTTCAAGTATTTTTGCAGACAAAAAAAGGCAGTACAGTAGTGTAAATCCTAGACATAAACAGCTGTAAATCATCTGGTACAGGAAAATGAATTTGTCTTCTGTATAAATCCAGTTTATTGCAGCCACATTTTTTTCCCAGTAACTTAATGTACTTTGTTACCAAATCTCTGCAATATACAGCATGGAGATAGTAAGCATGTCTCCCTCCTTTTTGAGAAGAAAAGAATTTGCTTCTAATTTTGAGACTGGTCTAAACTGTATTTTTATCTTAGTTATCTGCACTGGTAGAATTCTATGAAATATAAGTGATCTTCTCTGTCTCGAGCTGAAACCAATTATTACTAGGAAAGGTCAGACCTCTGTCATCTCCCACTAATTTCCTGAATAAGAAAAGGCACTTAGCAACCAATGAGTGGGAGAGTTTTGGTCTTCTGGAGGCCTGAGTTTCTGTAAACTGCGTTTGACTCAATTAAAACATAAGTGATACACTGAGAAGACCTATCAGTGCTCCCAAACTGCATGTGTTACATCAAGAAAGCTTGGATTTGTGGCAGGTTACAGACTTGTCCAGAAAGAATCTTGATGTTTTATCAGTACGAAGGGAAAGGAAGTTTAATGAGGGGAAAAAAAAGAATAGTTTCTGTGTAGCTAATGGATATGATTATTAGTAAGCAAGAAACTTCTTTATAAATGAGTTGTATTTAGATCAATGACATACAATTGAAAATTCTGGAAATGAGAAAGTTCTCTCGTTAACATTATACGTATGTAGAGAGAGCATGAAATGTCAATATAAAGAAAAAAAAATATATTTAGAATATGATTACATATAGCCAGTAAAACACATGTTGCAGACGCTGGGTAAATCTAGAAGTGATTATTTTGAATTCATTTCATATTTTGGCTACAGAGAGAGAAATTAACATTGACCGAGAAAGTGACATTAGGTTCTTCCCAGGCAGCACTACTTGAAGCTTAGCTGTCCCTATATGGGATTCTCAGCAAGCAAGCTTTTTTCCCTTCTACTTAGCTCCATTCACCTATGGGAGATGTGGAGGGTTTGCTCTGGGCAAAGCGTTACCCTACTGCTGTGTTCCTTTCTGAAATGTTCACTGCAGCCCTAAGTTTCACCGCAGCGAAGTTTCACCATTGGTAGTAGTGCTAGTTGGTGTTGTGTTGGTGACCATGCAGCTGGCAAAGCTCCGTGGATTAGTGGTGCTTGATTTGAATCTTTGAAGCTGCCGTTGGTCTCTATCATCTCTGATGAAGTACTCAGTCTACAGAGTGGTACCATAATAGGGAGCATGCTGTGAATCTTAGGGAAACTTGTTCTGCATTCTGACAGTACTGTCTTAGTAGTGATCTCTGCTTCTGACATGATTGTCTGAACTAAGTGCTGCTTGTATGGGAAAAGGATGAAATAAATGGATG